CATGTATAATATTTGATTCCATGTGTGCTCCAGTTTACAAACAAATATACAACACTATAAAACGTATCTTACGCTCTATATAATACTTGTGTATACACATGTTGTAGAGTTGATTAAGCTTTTGCCATATCTAAATTTAACTTTGTCCTAAAATGAAAGTATTATATAAGTATATTTCATATTGCAAAAAAAAATTGAAAACTTCGATGATCAACGTTTTTTTTATGAATCTGTTTTCACAAAAATCTCATGTTTTCCGCAATTGATATTACACTGTTAACTGATACGGTTTCATACATTAAGAAATCGTATCAGAAAAAGATATTTCGAAATGAACAAAAAACCACGAAAATATATAAGAACTAAATGTTTATATGTAGTGCTCCAAGCTTAACCTTACACAACACTCGATAATTTTCCTCGGACCTGAGAGGATACATAGGTGCATTTCAGTAGATTAAGGACTCTATATTTCACTGCCGCTATTACATGTCTTCATTTAGGAAAAAAACACGAGGTTTTGTTAAGAATTCATTTTTATTAATTGTATGCTTTCCACTATACTTTTCGTAAATTAGATACACAAATTTCGTGACAAATCGCATGCTCCTTAATTGTGTAATAACATAAATATGTGCAGGAAATCGTATCCATCTTTATGGTATTTGAACATAAGATAAAACCAGAAATCCCAAAGAGTAAACAAGCACATCCAACATACAAACAGACATTGAAATTGAAAGGAAAGATTTGTGTCTTTGATGAATATTTTTCCTACTTATTGGTTTTTGTTCTATATTTTGTGATTGCCGCCATTATACTTGTATCATTCTCCCTTTTCGTAAAGATTAGACATGAATCAAATTGTAAATGGTTTTTAAAAATCTTCGTTTATCTAATTTTCCCCCTTTAATTTTACAGCTGTTCTATAAAAGAAGAGCGTGGGTTCGTCACCTTCCATTTTCTACAAATATGTCTCGTTACATTTTTGTCATTTGTCATTATAATAACCCTGTACTTGATCATATGGTGTTATATCAAAAGACAGACAATAGCGATCAATGCATCTTCTGGACAACAATCAGCGGTCAACTCGAGACGTCTTGCTTTTAAACTCTCACTGTATGTGTTAGTTCATGTAATACAGTTTGGTGGAAATGCAATCGAAGGATTATGGATTTCAGTTGAAGAACCACCAATGGGTCTTCGATATGCATCAGTAATTATTGGTGCAGCCGGTGGTATAATGAACGGTATTGTGTTTCTTACAGTGCGTAAATAAACATTTAGCAATAATGTCATGGCTTCGTAACTCTATGTTGTGAACATGACTGTTGTATTAAATAATTGTGTAGCCTTTTTTGTCGTCAGTTCATGACTGTTCAACATCATCAATGGAAACCACAAAGATTATGAATATATAAGAATATGAAAATTTAAATTATCTTAAAAATCAAAGTCATTTTAACCTTTTAAAACTGTTATTGCAAGTTTCTTTTGACTCTGTAAAGAACAATGACAAATGACCAAACGGGGCCTTCACAGAATAGTTAAATCTAACTTCTATTCTTTACGGTAGTTAAATCCTTAGATTTTTAAAATAATTTGTCAATATATTAACAGAGCATTTGAAAAAGGTACATTATAAATAGCTTCAAATACGACTGAGCTGATGACACCTTTGAACCATGCCTTTCTTTGTCCTCATTTCCGACGACAACGAATCCACAAATGAATTGTTCCCCACATGATCAATATAACAATCGATACAATTAAATCCAGAACTGCTGATCTTTCTAGGGCAAAGAGTTGCGGAAGATACAACCGGATAATTCAAACTCATAAGTCGACGATAAACAGACAAATCCATGACAAAAAAAAACCGAAATAATGCTAAAAGATAAACAACAGTAATACTAGTACTATACAAACCACAACGCAGAAAACTAAAGACTGAACAACGTGATTCCAAACAATACCCAGGGGTGATTTTACGTTCTACAGAAAGATAAGCAAATCCTGATTCCCATCTGGCACCTGTCATGTTTCGCAGTCTAGTACAAACTTGGTGATAAGTCTTATTTGGTTGGTCATATTCGAGGAAAATATCGTGGTTACGACACTTGCAACATATCCGTCGTTATCTTTGAAACAGATATTCCATAACGGTCAACCAACGTGTGATGGCGTCGGTAAACGGAAATAACGTACATTGCTTCAATAAATGGAGAATGCGTCCATGGCATACATATGATGCCCACGCTTGCATATAACATTATAAAAGCAAAAACGGTAAAAGTGACGCCACTTTAATTCGAATTTGATCTGTGTTTTATGGTGATACGCATTGTGTATAAGTTTCAGATCATTTGGTTGAGACAAACTACAGTTAGGGAACAGAAATCAATTTTGTGACGAGTGTTCGTACAAACGGACGTACTTACGGACGGACAAGGGTAACACTTAATGCTTCTGTTGCCTAACGAAGGGGCATATAATAAGGTTCCTTTTTGTGATGGTATAAGATGTATTTTAAAGTTTTCGTTGGTGCAAATATCCATGTGTATGTGATTTATATTAACTCTATCTTACATTACATGCAAATTGTTCGGGTTTTGACAACAATAAATTATAGATCGTCGTTAAGATTCATCATAACAAACGGACAAAAATGGCTGTAATTACATCTCAACAACTACTCTGAGTACAGACTAACCTGTATAGTTGGAAAAGTTTTAAGGCCTGACATCCACTAGATGTATAAAAGTTAAATGTATTTTGTGTTTCAGAAAGATAAAATCTATTTTGGATTTTGATGGGCATTTTTTTTTTTTCGAGATGCTTCCTCTCAGGTAACTACTTATTGTATGATTGTCCTTGATTGGCATGAATAATAGCAAGACAATAGATATCTACACAACTGTAGATGAGTTAAAGGGTATAATTGAGTGGACAGTATCAGGTGGGTTTTTTTTACACCTTCTCCAGGAACGAAAAAAAATGTAAAAATCCAAAAAAGATTTTATCTTTCTGAAACACGAAATGCATTCAACTTTATATATCTAGTGGATGCTAGGCCATAAAACTTTTCAGACTGGACAGGTTATTCTGTACCAACAGTAAATGTTTAGTTGTAAATACAGCCATTTTTGTCCATTTGTTATGATGACATCTATGAACATGTCCCTGACTGATGTGTTTTCAAACGCTATGAACTGTATGATAAGCCAATTTTATTATCATGAAAACAGAAATCTCGATTAAATGCTCATTCCTATGATATGTCGATCAACACAAAAGACTTATTTTATATATACCTTATTTTCAACATGTTCAACATGTTCAATGTTATGATGAAAAGAGATGATATATCAATTACGGTTCTACCAGATAATTAACAGTATAATGTATGAAACCAGTGGAAAATCTAGTGACAAAATATTACCTCATCTGCAAACACTGAACACTTTATCTTTTCAATGTTGTTTTAAGTGTTTTAGCAAGGACGCCTATAATTATTTATTCACAAGAAAAAGATTTGGTAAATATTACAAATTGAATTGTAAAATTGGTTTCAAATGATGCTGTGCGAATAAATTCCGGTTAAAATGACTGTATACAATGTATGTATATGAATTATTTGAATCATTTGTGATTATTTCAACTAATATCAATTTCAACACATTGAATCACTTACTCTTTTCAATGTTCGAAGCACACATATAGTTGCATACTGTAGTATTGATGCCATTTGTATTGTGACAGAATGAACAAACTCACATAATCAAAACATATGTGTATTCAAAATTGTTATCTTCAATCAATAGATATAAGCGGGGCTTCAGTTTGTATACATTATACTCTGCATTATACTTAACATCCAATAACATTAAAGTATAATGTATACAAGCCGAAGCCTCGCCTATCTATTGATTGGAGATGTCAATCTTAATCACAATGCTTGAGCAAACATTTACACAAGAAAGCAAGCAAGCTAACCAAACCTTTAAACTACAAGCATAAGGAAAATTGCTCTAATATTCATAAAAATCTCAACTTGTGTATAAATTTGTTGAATATATTGATTTTTTTCATTAAAAATATATATATAAATATAAATCAACTCTAGTTAGTAACTTATCCCGGTCACGACTAATAATAATTGTCAGAAGTTCTGGTTGGATATTACGTCATTAAGCGAACACTGGTATTACGTAATGTAATTAACAAGATGAAAAGTTAAAGATATCTATTTAGGAGTTGACAAATCATGATTTGATTCAATGTACACGAAGTAATTAGACAACTGGAAAGCTATTTTCGAGAAACTATTTGATGTATCGACAATGCCATAAAGATATTGACACAGTACTTGTCCATGTTATAGTTTGTGTTCGTCTGGCAAAAAAAGTATTTTGGGTACCGATTTCACACTACGTTAAATCGCCCAAATCATTCCTCAAAGATTCATATGTTTGCGAAAAATTCTTAAACAAAATCTCACTTTGACGTCACAGTCAGATTGTGCCAAGGAAGCTTGTCTGTATTGACGGAAAATCTATTTCAAATAGAATCCTTCATTGTTTTGTTTCTGTGAATTTACAGGGCCAAATAATCTCTAAACTGTACCTTATGCAAATATTGTGTTAATATCATATTGGCATATACAAACCAGTAGACGTGACAAATGAATAACTATATAAAAAAAAAAACAGAAATGACGTTGACAACAAGATTTTTAGTCTCCTAAAAAGTATTTGATATATCAAAAATAGTGTATGTATAAATTCATTATCACTATGAAAATAATTAAGAATGCAAATGTTGCAATAATATTCAACTATCGTATCACCTACTGCTCAAAATGTAAAGGTTGTGACCTTTTTGTTAGATGTTAGAGCTATTTTCCTAATGCTTGTAGTTTAAAGCTTGCTTTGTTTGTATAAATGTTTGCAAAAACTTTGTAATTAAGACATCTGCAATCAATATATAGACGGGGCTTCATCTTGTATACGTTTAATCTGCATTATACTTTTTAACATCCAATAACATTTCAAAGTATTTAGTCAACAAAAGTAACGATACGCATCTTAAGTTAACATCCATTATTTATACTAGTCAACAAAAGTAACGATACGCATCTTTATAGATAACATCCATTATTTATACTAGTTAACAAACGTAATGATACGCATCTTCAGATATCGTCCATAACGTATACTAGTCAACAAAAGTAACGATACGCATCTTTAGATAACATCCATAATTTATACTAGTCAACAAAAGTAACGATACGCATCTTTAGATAACATCCATTATTTATACTTGTCAACATAAGTAACGATACACATCTTCAGATATCGTCCATAACTTATACTGTTAACAAACTTAATGATACGCATCTTTAGATAACGTCCATTACTTATACTAGTCAACAAAAGTAACGATACGCATCTTTAGATAATATCCATTAGTTATACTAATCAACAAAGGTAACGATATACATGTTTAGATAACGTCCATGAATTATACCAGTCAACACAAGTAACGATACGTAACTTTGGATAACGTCCATTATTACATTGGTTGCAATGAATTACATTGATTTCCCAGTGCAATAAAAACCGATAATTTCACATGTGAAATAAACGTGGTTATTTCACTCCCCTGACGTTATACAATAGGCGTTGTCAAGACGTTGTCGATAACGTCGGATCAAAACAAATTGTGAATGCGTAGAAAAAGATATAGTTCTACTTTAATTTAAAAAAGAAAAGCCATTTGCCAATGTAATAAAAAAAATAAGTAATCAAAGAATTCAAATATCGAAAAATATTCAACTATGTGTTGTTCGGTCACTCGTTGAATATTTTTCTCTATTTGAATTCTTCGATTAATTATTCTATAATTAGTTATACTAATCAACATAAGTAACGATATGTATCTTTAGATCACGTCAAATAATCATACTAGTCAACAAAAGTAAAGATATGCATCTTTAGTTAATGTCACATCAAAATATGAGTATTCAGTTAAAATCTCCTGTGTGCCTGCTTTTTTTCTCTCAAACTTTTTTTCTATTGAACAACTTTATTCATTTCCTAAACGCATAATTAACATTTACATAAGCACACTCGGAGATAAGGCGCTTGTTTTTCAAATCGTTTTTGTTGAGAGTAACAACTGGCATACAATTAAACTGTTTGAAACCAGCTTTCGTCATCGCTTTGTACACAGTTAGAAAATGTGGAATTCTTTCTGGTGGCGTGTTCTCAAAAATGTGAAACTCGATGTTCATTTGCTTTATCCGGGGAACTAAACCACTTTGTAATATATTTGGAATGACTTCCCATTCATATGATTCTACATCAATTTTCAGCATATCAATAGGTCTCTGAAATATAAAAAAATTGCAATGTTTACATATTCAAATATATCCTATGATGCATTAATATATTTCTGAGTGGCTGTTTCCGGAAGACTCTTCCGAGACGATAACTTGATGTTCCTGCCTGGGGATGGGGGGCGTTATGGGGAGGGGGATTTTGAATATCCTGACCTGGTAAGAGCTAAAATCAAATAAGTATTTGAAGCAACAGATGGAAAGGAAGAGTCAATCCACAAAACATCCACTTACCCCACCACTATACTGTCACCGTATATACTTCGTCGAAAATTTAAACCAACAATGTCTGAAAATTTAAGGCAGCAATTTCTTGTCTCTTTAACCGAGGTTTGAAAAATAGAACCAAAAAATAGAGAATAATTTGGTGCTTAAAAAAATAGAATAGAGACTTATGGGCCAAAATGAAGGAATAGAGAAAATTGGCCTAAATATTTTTAAAATACAGAAATGAAAGACCACATCCAGACCTCTTATATGAATATTGTCTCTTTGACGTATGTCTCAAATTTCTCTTCGTTCATTGGTCAAATTTAAATATCTGAGCCATTTAAGGTTTGTGAACGTAAAACACAAAAACATTTATTTGCTTTTTCATAAAAAAAATACCTAACCGAGATAGAGGTAAATATTTCAGAAGGAAAACACTATATTTCATTTTAGTTCATACTTCGCTGTGGTTTAACTCCTTCAAGAGGTCTCCTAAGGTTCTTATTTTCCATTTCTTCCCAGGATGTTTTTTGACGTAGTCATCTATGCGTGGACTAAAGTCATTCATAGACTTTGAACCCAATCCAATCGGGTAGAAGTGGACACCAGATGGTCTCACGTGTTCACCTGTATATCCCATACTGAAAAATAACAGAATAAGTAGTACGCTCCCTCCATTTATTTCAAAAGCTCGTAATATTCCGTATAGAAATGTTGGCGGCAAATAGTACGAGACCGTTTTTTTCCTGAATATGCTAGACATATTTGCCACTGGAGGATAAACAATCAAAAATAAATTAAGGTATATACGCGGATTAAGTATTTTACATCATTAGTGCAATGTCCACTATTAAAACTTTGTTTATCTATTTCGATGTTATAAAATATCATGCCGTTTCTTTATTGTTATGTTCCTATTACTTATGGAACAACCCAAAATTACGTAGCATTTTGAGCCACACACAGTCGAGTTAAAACAATGTAGTTATCTTCTCTAAAAGAACGTATAGTACGGTTTCACATAAATGAGGGTCTGGATGTGGGGGGAGTGAGGGGTCTTCATTTCTGCATTCTTTAATTGTTAGGCCATTTTACTCTAATCTTTATTTTGATTGACCCATTATTCTCTATTCTTTGTATTTTAACACCGCATTATTCTCTATTTTTTGGCCTACTAATTCTCTATTCTTTAATCTGTTTGCCCTTTTTCTGTACCTTGTGCCCATTGTTCTCTACTTTTTTTACCTTGTTTTCTCTATTGTTTTTTTTTTTGCCCTAGCTTTTTGTACATGGTGCCTATTATTCTCTTTTTTTGTTGGCCTACTTTTCTCTATTGTTTAATGTTTGCCATGTTCTGTGTCTTGTGCCCATGATTCTCTATTTGTTTGGCCTACTTTTCTCTATTTTTTATTTGTTTGCCCTTTTTCTGAACCTTGTGCCCATTATTCTCTATTTTTTATGGCTTACTTTTCTCTATTGTTTAATTTGTTTGCCTTTTTTCTGTACCTTGTGCCATTATTCTTTTTTATTTTTTGTCCTACTTTTCTCTATTGTTTATTTTTTTGCTATTTATCTGTACCTTGTGCCCATTATATATCCTTTTGGGGGCCTACCTTTCTCTATTGTTTAATTTGTTTGCCCTTTATCTGTTCTGTATTGCCATTTTTCATTATTTTTTTGGCCTACTTTTCTCTGTTGTTTATTTTTTTTCCTTAAGTGTACTTTGTGCCCATTATTCTCTATTTTTTGGCCTACTTTTCTCTATTGTTTAAATTTGTTTGTCCTTTATCTGTTCCTTGTGTCCATTATTCTCTATTTTTTGGCCTACTTTTCTCTATTGTTTAATTTTTTCCCCTTTGTCTATGCCTTGTGTCCATTATTCTCTATTTTAGGCCTACTTTTCTCAATTGTTTACAAATGAATTGATCTCAGGAATTATTTGTCTATATCTACAACACACCCCTCCCCATGGAGGGACGAGGGCTTTTTTAACGAAAGTATATTAAGAATATATGATTAATTAAAACTTAAACATGAAAGTGGACATATACCGGGCGGGATTTTGCTTGATTTTCATAAGTTGGAGACAATCTTTCGATCAGTTAAATTCAGGTCGGGAGCTGGCATGTCAGTTACTGTTAGTAGTTCTTTGTTAATTTATAAATCATTGTCATTTTGCTTAGTTTATTCTGTTACCTATTCTAACATCGGGCTCGGACTTCTTTTAAACTGAGTTTTACTGTGCGTATTTCTGTGTGTTTGTTTATTCTACATTGTCTAGAGGTATAGGGGGAGGGTTGAAATCTCACAAAACATGTTTAACCCAGTCCAATGTATGCTCCTGTTCCAAGTCAGGAGTCTCTGTCCTTTGTTAGTCGTGTATATTTTTTTAAATTTTGGTTCATTTATATGTTTCGAAGTTTAATGTGACGTCAATTTTCGCTGAACTAGAACACTTCTTTGTTTAAGGGCCAGCTGAACCCAACCCCCGAGTGCAGGATTTTCTTTCTGTGTTGAAGACCCATTGGTGTCCTTGGGCTGATGTTTGCTCTTTGCGTGGTCCGGCTATTTAACGTGCTAGTTCACAAGGTAACAGTCTGCAGGAAGACTTGTCACCCTACCCAGACACATTATTCTGACTACCATCCGACCAGCCTTTGATCTTACTCTTTAATGCTGTACGATTAAGCAGCAGATCATAATTTTCAAGTCTTTCGTTTGACCCAGTCTGGGTAAAACCCACAACATCCAACACGACCACAAGACCATGGAGACGGATGGAAATAGAAAGAAAAATATTTATACGTTCGAGCTTCTCAAAATTAGCAAAATATAATATTAATATTATAAGTCCGTATTTAGAAAATAACGTTCGTTTTCAAAATTCTAAATCTTGTTTTTACAAATTTGAAAATGGTAAAAAATATTTGGACAAAAGTTTTGAAAGGTCGACAGTTTGGCTTATAGATTTTGTCCCTAGTCTACAGTTTGAACTAATAATAAGTGTCAATTAATTTTACGATTTTATTAATTAATTTCAGAAACATATACACAGTTGTCCAATTGAGTTATCTGAAATTAGGTACTTATGAAAAGAAATTCACCCATCATCTTAATTCGCATTATAGCTCCAAGTTCTCTGATGAGCTTGTTTCATTTCGTCTTTCATACGTGCTTTTCAAGCGATAAATATTTGCAGTAAAATGGGAAAAACGGAAAAATAAAACTACATGTACAAATATATCCAAGCTTATGTGTTATAACATACCTAGGATCGAAAGCAAAGACATCACATCCTAGTTTAGCCATTGCATCATCAAAACTCCACTGGTTGTTAATGCTGAAAAGTTAAACACATTTACTAGTAGTTACACACAAAACACATTTAATTGCACACAAATCACACGTAATTGCACTCAATTTATACACTATAGGATATATTCCCGTATGATATACTTAGTAGTAAAAACAAGTATTTGTTTTTGTGTTAAACAATCAATGACAATCGTTTTGTTTCAGCCATTCATGATGATATCGACATCAAGCATGAGTGACAGGATTTATAAAACCCCAAAAATCTGTATTACGTCATACAGACGTAAAACGTTCGTTTTACGTAAAATAAAAATGAAATAAAGTGTATATGATTTGGCTTTTTCAATGTCACCCACCGTACAACAAATGGAAGTATTTAACGACCTTGACTGGATATACATCCCTCGCACGATCGGCTCGGTGCCCGAAGGCGTTTGGTGAGCGTTTAAATAATTTTGTGCCATCGGTCAGGAACAGGTGGAGGACGCCATTTTGGTAGGCCGCCATCTAGGTTTTGTAAGTTGTTTTGGTTTTTCTTTTGTTGACTATTTTGATGTTATGTCTTCACAACGGCTGCTTTCAGGGCCAGATTGGTCAGCTTGGCAGCCCGCTAACCTCGATGATGGAGTACTGGTAGATGAGTCTCGGACGTAGTATTAACGATGACAGGAAGCATTATCGGGACCAAAGTCGTGAGACAGTGAAATGGTGGTCCATCATCTAACACCTAGGATAGAGCCCTCGGACGTCACTGACCCACCGTACAAAACCTTCAACCAATATATAGTCCCTCGAGTAGATCTAGAGATCTCGGAATTATATTGGTGGCTCGGGTTTACAAGGGTGTGATATGATATTGAAGATCATTGAAAAAGCCATGTAAGATTGTTTACATAATATAACAACAGCGTCTCATGGAAGTGAATTAAACTGCGAAACACGTATGGTGCCGCAGCTTTTTTTGATAGAAAAATCGCATTTTTTAAGGGTACTCTATGATTCCGGAATTTTCGAAATATAATGAATGGAGAACACCCCTTGCTTAATTTTGCACAGAAAATGTTGCTCATCACAGAGAGTTCCCTCTAAATTTCTCTCTATTTCTACACCAATAGCCAATACTCCTTTCTCACTATTTCAATTTTGTTTTCTAATTATCAGGGCAGCAGAAAATAAATTTACTTCTACCTATTATCTTTGGATGTAAAATCCAGGTGACTCTAGGCATTTATAATTACTTCCTTTTAACCATTTGTAGATCGGCGCACAGCAAACAAAATAAAGACTAGGTTGCAGTCAAAAAATCATTTATATGTTGGAACATATTTGCCTTTTGATAAAACATATGTGTTTTTAATAATACGAATGTTTATTAATTATCAAGTATAATGATAACGCAATAATATAATTCATGTTTTTAGACGGGCCTTGTATGCGTTGTGTGTGTAGTGTGATAATAAATCTGGGAAAAGTTTATTAATACATAATGTCCCAAATTAAATTGATTATTTCTGAACGTTTATCACGTGATATTTTGTATTTCAATTATAGCCTGGGAAAATGTCGGAAAGCACGAAGAAAATTGAACAAAAGGATTTTTCTGTCAATGATATTTAATTCCATAAATTAATACTACCAGACCAAGAGAATATTCATCATTAAAATTATTAAGTTTAAACTGATACTAGATTTATCCTTGATAGAATATAATTTAAAATGTTATGTATACGTGTATTATGTCCTACAGCTTAGAACAGAAAGTACATTTATGAGAATTATATGCATAATATGAGCACCAATGAACAAGGAAGCGTACACAGAAGTTAGTAACTGAATTTTAAACGGTAGTGAATGAAAAAATACTTGTATGATTTCACTTCACACGGATTTTAAATCCTTGCATCTCACAAAAAAACGAAATTAATATTTTACAATAATCATAAAAAAAGTTTAAGTACTACGTTAATTCTTTTATGCTTATTTGGTATAGATTTATAAGTCACTGTTTATATTTTGTGTATAGCAATATAGTCATATAGTGGAAATTAAGACTTTAAAGAGAGATTGATTTGATAAATAAAATGTAAATCAGAAAATACATGACGTTTGTGTTTATTGATAATGATTATATTATTAAGTTTAGTAGTTTTGCCACGGGTTCTCACTTCACATGGGAATTGGACTTTGAATTTATTTATACAACATCTACCATGAGTACAGACAGCTTCAATAACGAGTATACGAATAATTGAAGGCATTCAGAAAACAAAATATGAAGATATGATAGTTAAAATAAATACATGATCCAGATTATAAAGCAAACTGAGTGCTTAAATTTATATTGCGATTCGTTTGCGCAATTTGCATTAGACGTCCGGTTTGCAGAAACTGGGATTTGCAATAGGATTATGAAAAAATGATGTACACTCCCAAAAATCAATAAATAAAATGTTTGATCCTTAAAATATAAATTCAAATAGTAGCTGTATATACACTTTTCTATTTACAACTATCTAACATTGCTTTCGATTGACTTGTGCAAGAATCTACATACAACTACATATTTTAATAAAGGTGTTTTAACATAATTGATATCTTATTCTAATAACTGTCAATTATTTCAAATCAAAAGCAAACACAAATTCAACAACAATTTTGGTGACCAGTCAGCGGCCTCTGGTTCACGTGTTGCTTTTCTTTTTTTAAAGAATGCAACTTGTTTGTTTGTTTTGTTGTTGTTTTTGTTTTCGTCGAGATCAGATATAGATTTTAGATAAAGAGAAAAAGACAGAGGAAAATAATTTGATTTCTTGTATCAGTTAAAACTTACCCAAATGAATAAACTAGACAGGGTTTCAGTACTACAAATGGACTGGTATTGCAATCGAACTTCACATGTCCCCTCTCTACTTTGTTTTGGCAAAAATAATCGTCTTCCCTCAAATCTCTTAAATAAAAAAAAATCGACATTTTCAAATGTTAATGTATGTCTAACCTCGGCATTTTATCAGCCATGCTCACATTAACCGTGGCGGATTCAGAAATTTTCATAACGGGGGGGGGGGGGGGGAGGGGGGGAGGGGGGGGGGGGGCTACTGACTTCCTAAGAGGTGGCCCGCTCCAGTCATGCTACAAGGATTCCCTAAATAATCAACCATTTTTTTCCCACAAAAGGGAGGAGCCCGGGCAATCTGGAAAACCATCTAAATCCGCCTCTGATTAACATGCGCAACAGTCAAGGAAGAACAATGCACTCTTGTCAGCAAAACGCAAACAGCAAAAAAAGATGTTCGATTGACACAGAGCAAAAAAAAACTGCTTTGTAGTTCTGATACTTTGTTTGAGCATTGTAGATTTAAAAACATTTATTAAACCAGATAAAATCAATGTGTCCGATCTCCTGGTTCTTACATTTCTCGGTAGAACAAAAAGATTCAAAATTTATACGCGCTCTTTTTTTTTACATTAAATATAGAATTTTCAAAGCGGTATTGCACCCCCTCCCGAAAAAAAACACACCTGCACACACAATGTATGAAATACAATATATGTTGTTAACAAGGCAAATTTTGGAGAGAAAAAAAAAACTGGAGTTTGCCATTGAATATACGTACTGCCTGTACGAAATGAGACGCCTGTAAATGACACGGAAACCAGGCGTAGAAATAATTCTTTATCCTGGCGTCATTGCAGTGTTTAAGGAATGCATGTCAAGGCGGAAACCAGGCGGAAACCAAGCGTAACTGAGGCGGAAACCAGGCGTAAAATTAGGCGTAATATTTAAATGAGTACGCCTGGTCGACAGAAAACCAGGCGTAATATGCAAATGAGTACGCCTGGTCAATAAATAATCCTGGCGTAATATCCTTACATAATACTATACTTAATTAAAATCAGTGTATTACCCTAGCTGTGTACTTTGTGTATTTGATACAAACTAGTACTGTTGTTTAAATTTCTCATTGTTTGACATAAAACTTGAAATAACAACCATTGAAGAAGCTATATAAATAAATAAATATTAGACAGACACTGGCTCAAATAAGTTTAAGTTTAAACAAGAATTATATGACAATTAATTTTTCTTGAAATAAAACTAGCATTTTGACTAAGTTGTTTAAAAAATTAATGTCATTTGAACTAAAAAAAAAAAACAATGATAATACTGCAATTTAACTTGTGAAAGATTTAAATGTTATTATCCAGAAATTGAATTAATGTTAAAAAAATAAAAAAACTTAATAACATAGTTACTCACACTTATTATTTACCACGTATACTAGATCTTCTGTCCTTTCATTTCACAATTTTCATTCATCAATTCCAAAAAGCACAAAAAAAGGTAATTTCTCCTGAATATATCAAGCTGTGATATTATAATCCAACTCTTCCAAGCTAATACCAGAGAGCCAAATTTTGAAAAAATTTCCCATGATCCTTTAAGCATAGCATTATGGGTATTATGATTTACGCCCTTCCAACAGTTTTACGCCCTTAGGAAAATTAACGCCTTGCTTAATTCAATTTACGCCAGGTTAACCACTTTTTTCTACGCCTGTAAGTGCTACAAATTTACGTACGGGTAGTATAAAAATATATGATGAATAAAAGTAAAAGTAAAAATATCGGTTGCTCGTCTCTTTTGATAACCGAGTAAATCTATGCAACATTAAAATAACTAAAGGCGTGACCTAAATGTTATTTACTTGAATGAAACCCACACAAAACGAATGCGATATTAAAAAGTCCTTTTACAAACCTCGCTAACTCTTCAAAAGCCTCGATCCAGTTTGTCGTTTCATTGGTTTTTTTACGGTCATTCATGTCAACTTTTAAACCATTGCCTATAAAAAAAATCCGGTATGACAAATTAAATTCAATACATTTTATGTGTAATGTTTAAGATGCCGAATGTCTGTGTAAAGTGGAAAACTGAAACAGAATGTGAAAATAGTAATAGGGATAAACAATGTTGCATCAGCAAGACACTGAAAAAAGCAATCGGCAATCCTCGGGTGAATCCGCTACTATCTGGAGGAACGGAATTGGCAGAGTTGTGACGAGTGTGAAAATAGGACAAAAATGGAGGATGAAACGGAGAGGAACGATTGTTTTTTTTTCTATCCCGAAGAAGATATTGCTAATATTATTTTAATTTTCACATATAAAAGTTTTTCTTTAACATTGTGATAAACTAGATGTACAATGTTTCTTTATGGTACAGATTTGAACAGCCCTTGTAATCAAGCTGTTAAATCATTATAGATCTTACCGTTTTGTTTTTTCGATTCTTGTAGTTTTGAAACGGCATTAAAATGCTGTGTTGTGGTTGTTGCCAGCTTTCTATCGTTTTGTTCTTTTGATTCTTGTAGTTTGGAAACGTCATTAATCTGCTGTGTTGTGGTCGTTGCCAGCATCTTACCGTTTTTAATCTTTGATTCATGTTGTTTGAACACATTATTTAGCTTCTGTGACGTGGTGGTTGCCAGTGTGTGGCGAACTATAAAACCCTGGGTTCTAGCTTTAATTGTGTATTCAGGTGCTTTTTCTAAAAAAGATACATGATTTGTACAGAATTTTTGTACAGGTTGTCAGCTCTGAAAGCGACATTAGCTGTCAAGTTAGTGCATACCGAATAGATTCAAATTTTGAAATATTGATTTATAACATACTGAAACGTATCAGAATTACAAAACATTCAATTAAGGAAGCAATAAACAATGCGTGGACTCTTTGTATATTTCTGGTAATGACTTAATATGGGGAAAATAGCTCTGTTTGGTTGTAAGGTCCAAAATTAAGTGTCACATGGATATGTGTTCTTGAAGGCTACATTCATAGATAATTCAGTCTTGCTTCGTCTTTATAACGTTAATTATATCCATAACTGTCACATTCAAATAAATATTGATATATAACTATAACAAAATAAATCCGAGAAATAGTGTACGCACTATAAATGAACAGTCAAAATTCTTGTGATCTCCATTGTAAAGGAGAAGGTTCGAAAAGGACCAAAAATTGTTCTTAAAATTTCAAATTAGTAAATTACAACAACTTTTTATTTCATAAATTTCAAAGCTACTTGATACATTTACGCATCTTGTATTTCGTGCGTTTTTTTGAACTTGATGCCATCTAATTATCCATCGACACGACCTCCAAAAATTACCGATGGGCATGAAAGGACAAGGTATGATAAGGGGCATTTTTGGCCCCCTCTTCAAATGACTTCATATTCAATCCATCATTAGTCTATGCATAATGACTTAAAAAAATGTTGAACATTTTTTGTTAATGTGATTGTTTCGTTGCCTAGCAACGGATTTTATGAAAATAAACTATGATATCCATCTTTAATACAATTGCCCTAGGAAAAGACTTCTGAATCCATTAAAATGAAAGATAATGTGTTACCAAACACTTGAATATTTATTATTGTTGGATCTATCATTTAACGAAGTTCTAAACAGCAACCTAGCAACCCCAATGTTGCCTAGTGACCACACAAAAGGACTTTTTTTATCCAATGCTATTAATAAAAAAATGAAAAATTCAAATATTTTCATACAACTCATATTAAGTCGACTCCTATATTGATATATTTATTAACCATGTTTGCATTAAAGACAAAAATGTTTATGTATCTATATAACCCTTCATATCAACCCGAGTTTTCCTTAGCAACGCATAGTTCGTTTTAAGTTAATAGTTGAAGAACATTTCAAAAGGTGTTTTAATATCACTGAGTGTAATCTTTAAGCTTGAAATGTGGAAATAAAGGATATTTATCAGTACCTTTAGTGCAGATGTGCAATTTTATTATAATTCTTAATTAAATGTTTCCATGGTAACACAGGAACGTATCAATGATATAATATTTTGCTTAGCAACCATCGCAAATCAGATATATTAATATTGATATATATCTAAGTATGTATTTTCATATAAAAGAGAGACAGCAGATACCTATTTTTTTTAGTTTTGCATACTGTATAATAATCCGAGATTCTTTGCTGCTAACAGCAGCCTAATGACATGTATACCCTCCCACCCCCACCCCGTTTTCACAATGTTTATTTTTTTCTCTATTGTTATTTGCAAAAAAATGTTTGATCAATTGTGCATGATCTGATGAATAGACAATTCATGGCTACAAGGTTTCAATTAATTTCTTTAATTTTTTTTTCGCCCACAGATTGAGTAGTTCAACTTAAATAAATGGAGAATGTGTCCATAGGGATAAGCATTGTGTACAAGTTTCATAACATTTGGTTGAAGCAAAAGCTAAAGTTAGGGAACGGAAACGAAAAAATCAGCAATTTTTCCATTAGTAAAGGGACATAACTCTTGGACAGGAAAAGTGGCGCCACCAAAATTCAAACTCTATCTGTGTTTTGTGATAAAGAGCAATGTGTATAAGTTTCATATCATTTGGTAGAGACAAACTAAAGTTAGAAAACGGAAACGAAAAATTCAGCATTTTTTCCTTTTGCAAAAAAGCATAACTCTAAGATGGTAAAAGTGACGCCACCAAAATCGAATTTGACCTGTGTTTTGTGGTAATAAGCATTGTGTATAAGTTTCATAAAATTTGATTGAGGCAAACTAAAGTTAGAGATCGGAAACCAATTTTGGAACGTACAGACGGACGGACGGACGGGCGTACGTACGTATGTATAGACGTACAAGGGTACAACTTAATGACCGCTCCGCTACAGCGGGGGCATAAAAATCATAGGACGGATGCATGCCCTTTACCTCTGACGCGGGGCACAAAAAAATAGTTGAGAATTATTAGAATAGAAATTATTGATGTGTAAACTTGGCTGCTGACTTTCAAACTTTACATAAACGTCCATTTTATTAATCTTCTTAGTTGTAAAATAAATCTTATGCAGTAAAAAGTAGTACCATTCATATTATTTCGAACATTGAGTAAATTGGTGCATAATGTACAGTGTGATTGTTAAATTGATCTACATATTGATATTTTTTAACTGGGGCCGAGAGGATAGGGGCGGTGACTTTGCGTTCTTTTACAGTTTTTTTTATCTAAGTCAAAAGATGAATATATCATGAAAAAATAGAATAATAACATATTTATCTCTGGGCAATCCGGAAAATGATAGGAGTCTAGTGGTGGTTTTAGTCATTTTGTTCAATGCATTAATTATAAAAAAGAAGATGTTGTATGATTGCCAATGAGACAACTCTCCACAAAAGACCAAAATGACACAGAAATTGTTATAGGTCACCGCACGGCCTTCAACAATGATCAAAGCCCATACCGCTTTGTCAGCTATAAAAGGCCACGAAATAATAATGTTAAACAATTCAGACGAGAAAACCAACGGCCTATTCTATGCACAAAAAATGAACGATAATTAAATATGTAACACATAAACAAACGACAACCACTGAATTGCAGGCTCCTGACTTGGGACAGGCACATACATAGTGAATGTGGCGGGGTTAAACATGTTAGCGGGATCCCAACCCTCCCCTAACCTGGGACTGTGGTGTAACAGTAAAACATAAGATCGAACTATAACAAGAGTGTACACGCTGAAATGTCTCGCCTTCTTTACTTACCATTGATTTTATGTTGATAGTCCTAAATAGAAAGCTTTACTACAAGTAACACATAAACTTAACATGATCCAGGAAAATGAGGTCAAGGTCAGATAAACCAAACGAGAAATACATGTACACCTTACAATCATTCAATAAACCAAACATAGTTGACCTATTGCTGGTTTCTAAGAAACAGTCTTAACCAAGAAAACTTAACATTGACCAATGAACCATGAAAATGAGGTCAAGGTCAGGTGCACCTTGCCAGACAGACATGTATACCTTACAATCAATTTATGCATTAAATATAGTTGACCTATTGCTTTTAGTATCTAAGAAACAAACTTAACCATGAAAACTAAACATTAACCAATGAACCATGAAAATGAGGTCAAGGTCAGATGATACTTGCCAGACAGACATATACACCTTACAATCCTTCCATACAACAAGTATAGTTGATCTATTGCTTATAGTTGAAGAAAAATAGACCAAAACACAAAAACTTAACACTGAGAAATGAATCGTGAAAATGAGGTCAAGGTCAAATAAAACCTACGAGACTGACATGTACATCATAAAATATTTCCATACACCAAAAATAGTTGACCTATTGCATATAGTATGAGAAAAAAAGACCAAAACTCAAAAACTTAACTTGACCACTGAACCATGAAAATGAGGTCAAGTTCGATGACACCTACCAGTTGGACATGTACACCTTACAATCATTCCATATACCAAATATAGTAGACCTACTGCTTATAGTATCTGATATATGGTTTTGACCACCAAAACTTAACCTTGTTCACCGATCCATGAAATGAGGTCGAGGTCAAAAGAAAATTGTCTGACGGGCATGAGGACCTTGCAAGGTACGCACATACTAAATATAGTTATCCTATTACTCATAATAAGAAAGAAATTAACATTACAAAAAAAGTTTCTTTTTTTTCAAGTAGTTACTGAACCATGAAAATGAGGTCAAGGACAATGGACATATGACAGACGGAAACTTCGTAACCTAAGACATCTATATACAAAGTATGAAGCATCCAGGTCTTCTAGCTTCTAAAATATAAAGCTTTTAAGAAGTTAGCTAACGCCGCCGCCGCCGCCGCCGGATCACTATCCCTATGTCGAGCTTTCTGCGACAAAAGTCGCAGGCTCGACAAAAATCAGTTGAAAAAGGCTTAACTCATCAGATGGATAAAAATACAAATACCACAAATAAGTGGACGTGGTCGGGTACTTGTACATCCCAACAACAAAAAGACACCACACCTATTTGTTCCTCATTATCTAACAGGTCCATTGTGTGCCTCTTTTAAGTAAAGAAATTTCTTTTCTACATCCCTTCAGAAGATACACAAAATACAAGTTTAATATACATCGTTTAAAATTGGAATCGACTGAATAGGGAATGTGTCAAAAAGACAATTTGTTTCTTTTACAAAATATAGTTATATTATCCTTGTATGGATTATCAAGTCACATATAGCAACTTCTTTTTTTTTTATTAGAGAAAAGATTCTAAAAAAGAAAAAGTGAAAAGAAATAAAAAAGAATAAAATAGTCGCAGAAAAGAAAGTATTATTTTTTTGTTAACTGAAACTTCTATAATGTTGTAATGTCAGCTTTTTTGGAAGTAACAGTTGATCAGCTTATATACGAGTAAACGCATGCATCTGCAATGTATCTTCGGATCTTGAAAGTCGGCCTGTGTTGAGATTTATATATAGTCTTATATTTGACTTTGTATTTTCCCAAAGGTTTACAATATTTGCATACACTTTATTAATGTTTCAAAATTATATCTAAACCTTACAGCATTTCTTTTTAAGACATGTTATATATTTGAAATATTTATCATTTATTTAATGAGTTTAGATTTTTTATCTTTGAAATTATCTAAAAAGAAGTATTTCAAATAATTTCCTTTAAAATCCATTGACAGGGGAGGTAATCTCG